CCGAGCCATAACCCCAGCCTCTAAACAACTTTTATATGCATTGGGAAACCCAAAAATCTGTGACTTGGTTTATGGTAAAATTCACTTTATTGTGGTCATCTGGAACCGAACCCACAATATCACCAGGTATGCCTTTATTAATAGTAGAAGCTATGACCAGGCTAGAAAATCAGCTTCATGTAATTTACCAATATTTTCTTTTTATGCTAATGTTTATATCAAGGTTAAAGAAAGAATTCTCTGCAATAGGAATCTTCTCTTCTTGTTTTAGAAAATATATCAAAGTTATTTTAAAAAGTTTAAAGATTGACATAATTTACACCATTATTCATTTCATTCATTAATCAATTATTAATATTTTGCCACATTTGTTTTATTTTCTCCTTTAAGGCAGTATTGGGGTATGAAACTAGGGGTACTCTACTATTGAGATACATTCCAGTCCTTTTTTAAAAAAATTTTTATTTTGAGATAGGGTCTCACCAAGTTGCTGAGGCTGGAGTCAAAACTTGCAATTCTCCTGCCTCAGTCTCCCTAGTCACTGAGATTAAAGGTGTAAGTCAACATTCCTGATTGTTTTTGTGTATTATTTTTGTCAAAAAAATAAAAATTTTGGCCACATGGGCTTTGTTTCTCTGGGCAAAACCTAGTGGTTGGTGCTGAAATGGAAAATGCAGCAAAGAATACCTCTGAAATCTGTCCTCTGTTTTGCATCTTCTCTGACATTTCCCAAGTCCACATTATCATATCTTGCTGGGATGATGGTAAAAGCCTTCTAACTGGTTCAACAGCATCCTCCTTGGCTGCTTCTATTCTTGTCTGGGAGAATAACCTTTTCAAAAGAGAGATGCAGACTGGATTGTACTGTGCTCATCATTAAAACAGTTTGGTAGTATTTTATACAATCGAAAAAGTAAGTTGGCTGAGTGGGTCTATTCTTAGCTTATCTCTTCAAATTCACTCCTTATCATTCTTCTCACAGTGTCCACATCAGCCTTCATTCACTGATTAACAAATATTTGCTTGGAATGTATTCATAGAGTCACTAAGGATACACCAGTGGCTGAGAGAAATGCGGTTCTTAATTTCTAGAACTTACACTTTAGGTAAAGGAGATAGAGTAACTGTAACTGTAAAGGAAATCAGTAAATGTTAGTTGTAATAAGTAAAAATCTGCAAATAACAAAAAAAGGCCCTTGAGATAAAGCAGTCAGGAAAGTCTTCTCTTAGAAGGTAGTATTTTACATGCAATCCAAAGGAGAAAGAGAAGTGAGCCATCTAATGAATGGGAGAAGAGAAAACTCAGGTACAGAAAACAATCCTTGCAAAAGTTCTGCATGCTGGAAAAAACAGTCTTTGAAGTACACAGAGAAGATCAATTTACTACATAAAGTAAGAAGGAAGTAAAGGTGGTTGGGGCCTTATTGTGCAGGGCTTTGTAGGTCATAGTAAAGATTAGAATTTTATCGTCTTATTTAAAAATCTCAAAAGTTATTTTAAAAAGTTGAAAGATTGACACAATCCTTACCATTATACTTTTCACCTAGACTCATCAATTAATATTTTTTATCAATTAATATTTTGCCACATTTACTTTCTATTTTGTTTGTGTGTGTGTGTGTGTGTGTGTGTGTTTGTTTTGTTGTTGTTCAAATATTTTTTCCTTCTTCATTTTTGGTGTTGGGGATTGAACCTAGGGGCACTTTCCAATTAAGCTACATTACCAGCTTTTATTTTTTAATTTTGAAACAGGGTTTCATCAAGTTGCTAAGGCTGGCCTTGAATTTACAATCCTCCTGCCTCAGCCTCCTGAGTCACTAGAATTACAGATGAGCATCATCTCCTGGCTTTTGTCAGATCTTTTGAAAGCAAGTTGTAGATACTGTGACACTTTGCTGCTAAATAAATCAACAAAAAAAGATTGTTGTACATTCAAAAAGCAAAGCCATTCTTCTACATAATTCCAAATTCATTGTAATACATGAGTAAAAACTGATCCAATATCATGTAATATGTAGTCCATATTTAAATTTTCCCAATTGTCCATGAAATACATTTTGCAATTATTTTTAAAAGATATGTGAACCAATCCAGAGTTAGGCATTTTCTCCTAACTAAAGCAATCTTCCACCCTGTTCTTCATGTCATGACATTCTGAAGAGCCTGTAATTGCTGGTATATGATAGTTTACATTTGTTTGTTTGTTTATTATTGCTTTCTTATTAGATTCATGCCAAACATTTCTGGTACAAATATCCTCATTTGGTTAAGTTATGTCTAATAAATCTCTTCATTGCAAAATTGTCTTTCCATTTATAAGTAAGAAATAATCTGGGGCTGGGGTTGTGGCTCAGTGGTAGAGCGCTTGTCTAGCATGTGCAAGGCCCTGGGTTCCATCATCAGCACTACATTAAAAAAATATATATATATATATATATGCAGGGTCATTCTTTGGCAATAATCTTAATGTTTTGTTTCCCAAAAACCTTTCAGCCAATATGTATTATTTGTTGTTGTTTATACCAAGTAGAAAAACCAAACTCAAACTGTTTCTTCTACTTTGTGCTCAAAATATTGAACATTTCTGTGATCCCAAAGTGTGTAGGGATTTCTCATCACCAGTAAGCAAGCAAATAACTCTGCAGTGTACATTAGCTGGACAATCTCTAATTCATTTCTGACATGATCAAACAGGAAGTAGCATCAGATCCCTTAGGCTGAGGACTCAGTCCCATAAACCTTCCCTTATTTCATTCAGTTATAAGTCTAGGTCTCTGGAACTTCTGACTGACCATTTACAATTGGTGTTTCCACAACTCCCTTGTCAGATTTGATGAATTTTGCTAAAGCAATTCACAGAATTTAGGGCAACATTATACTTACATTTGCCAGTTTATCATAAAGGACATTTTAAAATATATGAATAACCAGCCAGATGAAAAGAAACATTGGGTGAGGTCTGGAAGGGTCCCAAGCTCAGGAAATTCTGACCCCATGGAATTGGGGTGTGGCACCCTCCTGGCTGGTGGATGAGATCTCATTCACCTCCTGAAAGCTTCCATTTGTTCAGCAGTCTAGAAGCTCTCTGAATCCTTTCCTTGTAGGTGTTTATGAAGCCTTCATTGCGTAGTCATAAAGCATGGACAACAGTGTAGAAATGTGATTATACAAAAAGGGTATGATCTAATGCTAATAGAGTGGGAGAAATCCAGGAAGGTTTGTCTGTCCTGATTCTTCTTAGCTTCTCTGACCAACATTCCTTCTTTTGGGGCATTCCTCCTTCTGAAATAGAGGTCTTATGACTTATCATCAGACAGGGTAGGTCAGAGAATTTCTTTATGGCCAGCACCAAGACAGAAAGGTGTGGTAAAATTAAGGTTTCTAAGACCCATCTTGGGGAAAAGAAATTCTAGTTTTATGGCTTGCCTTGGGGAGAGAGTTATAAGTCAGGAACCATGGATGAAAACCATAATGTACACATTTATACTATAATGCATATATACCAGTAATAAGGTTTAATTTATAAATTAGGTACACTAAGGGCTTAACAGTAACTAATAATAGGACAATTATAAAAAATATACTATAGTAAAAAAGTTATATAAATGGGGTTTGGTCTCTCAAAATACATTGTATTATATTCACATTTTTTGTGATGATGTGAGATGATATGATGCTTATATGAAGAGATGAAGTAAGGTGAACGAGAGGCCTTGTGTTGCATTAGGTTACTACTGACATTCTGATGAGTATCTCTTGATTGAAATTAACCCTGGGTAACTGAAACTTAGAAAGTGAAACTGGAAAAGGGGGACGACTGTAGTCTTTTGTAACTTTTTTTTTTGTCACTTATCAGTATAAGTAATGTTTATTTCTAAAAAGTCATTGAAAGACTTTCAGCAAGGAGGTGATAACATCATTTGCATTTTGAGATTAGTTTGGTAGCTCTGTGATAGTGTAGGGAGATATAGCACCTAAAGTAGGTGCTGTAGTCCAAGTAGAGTTAGGCACTGGGCATGTGAGGCACTGGGTTCAATCCTCAGCTGAGGTCTTCTGCACAATGGAAAGATAAATGAACTTGAGGACTCAAAGGTGATTCTTTTGTTTTTGTGTAACTGGGTAGATACATGGTGCTGTCATTTACTAAGATGGAGATTAGGGAGAAGAGGGTTTGGTAATGAAAAATTGATCTCACATTGAACATGTTAAGTTAGGGATATGTTACACATTCAATTAAAGATGTTAAATAAGTACTAGAATAATTCTTTCTAGTTGGATCTCTGAGGAGAGGCCTAGGGAGGATAAGGAATTCAGGTGTCAGAACTAGAGAGATGCTATTTAAATCCCTGGGTTGACAGGGTTGCTAAGAAGAAAACTGTGGAGAAGCCAAAGAGGGCCTCAGGTTCTGAGGATTCGTTATTTAGAGGTTGGGTAGGAGAGATAGAAAAGGTGACTTAGATGGCTAGTAATACAAAAGGAGAGTGGTAACCCAACACCAAATGAAGAGTGTTTTAAGGCTGAAACATTTAATTGTGTAGATGAAACATTCAACTGTGGAACACTGCTGGGAGTTGGAATAAGATGACAGAAAATCCACTTAATTTTCAGTTCCTCCTTTCCCTTGTGCCTGGAATGTTTGTTTCTTTTTTCTTACTTAGTTAAATGCTAATGTTCCTTGGAGATCCAGATGAAATATTTGCTCAGGTTTCCCTGTGACAATCATATTGCTGTAAGAATATTCCTTCTAATCAATCAAAACAGCTGTGATTTCTCAATTTTTTGTATCTACATTTGATTGTTTCTCCCATTAGAATGCAGTTCCCTTGAGGGTTAGTGTCTGTTTCCCTTCTCCACTATCTCCACCCTCTACCATAGAGATTTTAAACAAATATTTCCCAAATAATAAATGTAGCAACTGGAGGGTTTAAGAGCTGGGAATCAGTAACAACTAGCAAAAAGCATTGTGGGATATAATAGAAAGCTGGGATTCAGGGATAGACTTGCCTGAAAGAGCAATAGAAAATACGACATAGAGCCCATTAGAGACTTAAATTCCAGCCTGGACAAAAAAAAAGTTTCTACTTTATCTCCCCTATTTTCTTCCATTTTACATCTACATTTATTTGTTCTTATTTCATCCTGGTTCTGCATCCTGTTCTCTACTTCAAGCTCAATTGGTTTACCTCAAATTTGACTATTTTGTGGGGAAAGAAGGAAAACTGAATAGAACAATGGTAGGTGATGGGAGACCTATGACAATGGAAGAAAAATGGTAAGCCCATCAAACTCTGTGTTTTAAAAATGCTTTTAAGCAAGGAAAATAGTTGAAAATAAGACCATATATAAGAGTGTGTCTGTGTCCTGAAATCCTTCAGCTTAATTTAAATCTCCCTCCATCTGCCTTTAAGCCCATTACTTTAACATTGTGAACTTAAGTTTCCTCAGAATTTATAAAATGGGATGATTGATAATAGTACCTACCTCAAAGGGTTCTCAGGATCAGTGAGACAATCCATTTTATAAGTTTAGCACCACGATGGCACAAGTAAGCGCTCAATTTATGTTAGCAGTTATTTTTCTTTAAAATCAAGTAGAGTTAGGAGACAGCCTAAGTAAATAGTTGTCATATCAATGTAATAGTAGAGCACCGCACTCAAATCAAGAGGACCACTTTAACAGAAGCAGAGAAGGATGCACTGGCACTTACATTTTGGGCAATGCCAAGACCATGCCTATGATAAGACTAACAGCACAACGCCTTGCAGCGGTAGCTGATTTAAACTCTCAGAAAAGCCAAAAAAATATTGAAAGAATAAAAGAAAGAAAATGCTCATAAAATGTGTTTGGTCCGTCAGGGCCGCTGTCTACAGGTAGGCTAGTGCAGCTAGGGAAGTGACCCCTGGTTCCGACAAGAGGAGTCTTTTCCGGCCCCGAGGGGACAGGACTCGGAGGTGACTAGCCCGCCATTCTTCGGCCCGTCCCTGGGGAGCCGCAAGAATAAGTGCGGCGGCAGAGGCCTCACCTCCGGGCCTTCGCCACGTCTTTCTTGTCTCAAGGATGGAATCCAAGACCTGCGTCCCAGCCAACAGATAGTGATACCTATAGCGGCTGCGAGGAGCCCCGAGGGAAGTCACATCCTGGGCTCCCGGCCGCCCACCAACCGGTCTCTGCCCATTGGTCGCCTCATGCTCCAAGTCCCGCCCTCAGATTTGAAAGCTTCTTCCGGGAGCCGCTGAATCCGCAGCGCTGTCAGCGGCACTCACGAGTGAGCTGCGGAAGCCCCGCCCACTCCCAGCGTTCAGTGCGGTGCTCTGGCCGCCATTGTTTGAATTTGAAAACCAAAACATCGCATTGCTGCTCGCAGGTCGGGCGTCTGGGCGATATTGTAGGTGAGAAGGTGACCCTGATGGGGGAGCCGAGGAGGAGTCTCCCACTGCTAGTGTAGCTGCGGGGAAACGGCTGTAGCATTGTTAGTATTTTCTGATGGGGCTCGTGACGCCCCTAAGTCAGGAACTGGTTGCAGAGTTTTGGGGCGCGGCGAGGGCTGAGCCACGTTTTGTGGTTTAGGGTTTAAACCTAGTTTCAGCTGAGCGGTGCAAGGCAATTTATTTTCTCTCTTCGGGCCACTTTCCTCATCTGCTAAGAGGAGGTAATTAAAGTGTCTACTTAGGGCCGTTGTTAAGATTAAATGATAATGTGTTAGAAACGTTACTGGCACGTAGTAAATTGATGTTACTTCTTTGCAATTAGCATTTTGTTGTTGTTGTTGTTGTTGTCAGTGTAGTTGCTTTTTTGTTGAGGAAAAGGCCTCTTGACAAACCAACTTTCCCGAATCCCTGAAGTGAGCAATTTGTTATGCAGGTGACGTGGTCTCTCTGGAGTTAGCTCAGAATGCCATACCAGCTGGATTGAACATGGCTAAGAAAATGCTTGTTTGGGCTATATTTAAAGTAAATGGATGAGTACAAATTTGGACTTTAAAGCTAAGCCTCCCATGTTCTAAGTGGAAGAAATAAACAGCTGTGGATGCCCATTACTACCCTTTCCGACCAGGAACCCTAATTCGTGATTCACTGGTGTAGATGTTTTATATTCTTATCACTGAACAGAGGCCTCGCTTTCGCCTTGTGCAAGTAGTATATATTAGTAAACTTTTGAATGTTGACATTTTTTGTAGTTAAGGTTGCCCTTATGTTTACCTTTAAGTTTAGTGATTTAACGTTTAATTCGATTTTAATACTTCAAGGATGTATTATTTCATGTTCAGCTTAAGACCTGTGGTATGCCTGATATGTTTGTGTGCATGTATTTATTTATTGGGTCCTGGGGATGGAACCCAGAACAACATGCTGGTCAGGCAAGTACTGTATGATTGAGCCATAACCCCAACCCAGGTACTGTTTTAAATACATTATTTAACTTTTTCTGCGCACTTTTAAGAATTGGACTGAAAATAAATTTTCCAGCTAACAGAGTTTAGCTCTTAAGTGCTAAAACAAAATATGTAACATTCTACAGAAGACACTAAAAAGCTTAAAATAATAAAAGATTATAATTCATTGTATAATCTCTTTGCTACTTGATTTCTGAGAGGATTTTAGGCGGAGAGTTAAACTTTGATTTTCTTTTCTACAGATTATTCAAGAAATCTCTTTGGATGGATCTATCTATAGGCTGGGTGTTTGCTGTGTTCAATATTATTTGATTTAGAATCTGAAAATGTAATTTGGTCCTTTGTCTTTTCCTTAGGTTATCTTGTTAGAAATGAAACACTTTAATGTTTTCCCTCTGTAAAATGTAGTTATTTGTGGGGAAGTAATTGGTTGGATTGTACACTTTTTAAATCCTGTGTCGCTTGCATGCTGACTTACTAAGTTATCTTGCAGAATGGAATCTAATTCGAATCAAGATGGAGTACCTAGACCGTCTTATGTTTTTAGTGCTGACCCAGTTGCAAGGCCTTCCGGAATAAATTTTGATGGCATTAAGCTTGATCTCTCTCATGAATTTTCCTTAGTTGCTTCAAACACTGAGGTAAGTACAAGTAAATATAAGAAAATATTATGTTGAGTATCATGATTCAGGGGAAATGAGTGCATGTGAGTAGAATAGAAATTGCCAGACTTTCTAGGTTTGAAGCAACCTTGTATTTTAGTAAGTTGTACATGGAGACTTAAGTCTAAAAGAAATACATAAAAGTTTCTTTTCAAGTTAGGTCTTAACAACCTAATAAGGAACCCTTCTTGCCCCAACCTGGTTACCATTTGAAAAAAAAATTAAATTGGGAAAAATGTTTTTAAAATTTCATTTTTTGATAATTTCACTTACAAATGGCATATTTGTCTCACTTTTTTTTGATATTTGCTTTATTGTGTTGGTCTGCAACTGAATCTGCAATGTCTCTGAGGTATTCCTATATTTCGAGTAATTCTTTCTGTCTGTAAGAAACTGTCTGTATAGTTTCGAAATAAATCTTGAAATCAGGTAGTGTTAGCCCTTCAAATTTTTAATATATCAAGAGTTGTTGGGCTCTCTGTACTTTTCATTTCTATATTTTAAAATGATGAATTTGTCCATTTCTTTAAAAAAGCTTGCTGAACAAAAGAAAACTTGATTGAGATTGCATTGAATCAGTTTTGGAGGAAACTATCTTAACAATATTGACTCAACCAAACAATGAGTGAGGTATATCTCCATTTAGTTTGGTCTCCTTTAATTTCTCTCATCAGTGTTTTGTAGTTTTTAGTGTATAGGTCTTTCACATTTCTTATTCCAATTTATCCATAAATATTTTGGAATTTTTGATACTATTGTGAATGGTGTTGCTTTCTTAAGATCAATTTGTAACTACCCAGTTTAGATAGAAAAACATTTGATTTTGCATATTGATTTGTGTCTTGCTGCATTGATAAATTCATTTAATTTTTCTAGTAGCTTTTTTTTTTTTTTGAGAGAGAGAGAGAGAGAGAGAGAGAATCTTTATTTGTAGATGGACACAACACAATGCCTTTATTTATTTATTTTTAATATGGTGCTGAGAATCAAACCCGGGTCCTGTGTGCGCTAGATGAGTGCTCTACCACTGAGCCACAATCCCAGCCCTCTAGTAGCTTTTTATTTGTCAGATTTTGTAGGCCGATGTTCATGTTGTCTATGAGTAAACAATTTTATTTCTTGTCTCCCAGTTTGGATGTGTTTTCTTTCTTATTTATTTTTACTGATATCACGAGCTAGTGTGAAGTAGAGTGATGAAGTAGAAATCTTTTGTCTTGTTACTCAGATTTAGTCTTTTACAAGTATGATGTTAGCTGTAGATTTTTTTCTAAGTGTCTTTCTATTCTGCTTTGTTGAGACTTACATGCTGTTTGGATGTTGAATTTTTTCAAGTGCTTTTTATATCTTTAAAATTTCTCATTTTCTAACATGGTAATTTGTTCTAATTGATTTTTAAATGCTTAAACTGACATTATATTCCTAAGATAAACTATTCTTTTTTTTTTTTTAAATATTTATTTATTTATTAGTTATTGGCGGACACAACATCTTTGTTTGTATGTGGTGCTGGAGGATCGAACCTGGGCCGCATGCATGCCAGGCGAGCGCGCTACCGCTTGAGCCACATTCCCAGCCCGATAAACTATTCTTTGCTATAAGATATTATCATGTTTTATGTACTGGGTAACATTTTGTTAGGGAAATTTTGCATCTATCTTTTTTGTTTTGTTTTGTTTTTGGTACCAGAGATTGAACTCAGGTGCACTTGACCCCTGAGCCACATTCCCAGTCCTTTTTTGTATTTTATTTAGAGTCAGGGTCTCATTGAGTTGCTTCGCATCTCACATTTGCTGAGGCTGGCTTTGAACTTATGATCCTTTGCCTCAGCCTCCCAAGTCTCTGGGATTACAGGCATGCACCACTGCACTGGGCTGCATCTATCTTAACATGGTGTATTCTGTAATTTTTTCTGAAGATATCCTTATCAGATTATGGTATTGGGATCTGTCAAACTCAGAATTAGTTGAGGTGTTTTCCTGTATTTTCTTAAAAAGTTTATGTATAATTTGTATGATTATTTCCTTAATGTTTTAGATAATTATTAGTGAACTACCAGGATCTAGAGATTTGTGTATGTGTGTGGTGGTGGTAGTGGGGGGTGTGCAATTATTTTGTTTGATAATGGATGAAATTTCTTCAATAGATTTAGTGTTATTTTGACTTTCTGGTTTTTATATTTGTTTTGGTAACTTTTTTTTTCAAATGATTGTCTTCTTTTTTAAAAAGGACATTTAAGAATGTACTTTTAAAGACATTTCTTTTAAATTAGTTTTGAAAATGAGGTAAGCTCATTTCTTCCTCAAGGAAAGCGAAAAGAATATTACATAGTAAAAAAATTCTGAATGATGGAATCCAACATTTATGTTAATAGAATATTCTGATTACTTGTGATTTATTCTAGGGTTCTATTTTCAATGACTTAGAGTCTTTGTATTAGACATAAAGATTAGGGTTTTATAGAGAAAAGATTTTTTGCTAATTTAACACAAAAATAGAGGAGGTAGAAGAGAGTGAATCTTGTTTTCTTAAAAATAGATTTGTTGAGGGCTGGGAATATAGCTCAGTCGGTTAGAATGCTTGCCTCACATGCACAAGGCCCTGAATTCGATTTCCAGCACCACACACAGACAAAAAAAGATTTGTTGTGTTTTATATAAATAAAATGTAATAACATTTAATATAAAAAGGTTAGAAACAAAATAGTGACTATTTGCTTGGAAACTAATCTCAGATTATTTTTTAACTGTCAATTTGCTTAAAAAAAAAAGATGTTTTCAGAAAAGCTATATTCCCTGTGTTTAAAATAATTATTTTGTTTTCCTTTAGGCAAACAGCTTGGAATCTAACGGTAATCTTCAGGTTTGTCTTCGAATAAGACCATTCACACAGTCAGAAAAAGAACATGAGTCTGAGGTTTGTGTTGAATTTAACTGAATTTTACTTTCAGTAAATCGGAAAGATGCCTTTGCTCTTATTTCTTTTTGATATGTGTTGTAGGGTTGTGTCCATGTTCTGAATTCACAGACCATCCTACTTAAAGATCCTCAAAGCTTCCTTGGCCGGTTAAGTGAGAAAAGCTCTGGGCAGATGGCACAGAAATTCAGTTTTTCCAAGGTAAATG